TCGACAGCTGGCTGGAGTGAGGCAGGCTGGTCCGGGAGGTGGTGAGGCCTTGCAGGAGGCAGAGGAGTGCTCCCCTTCAGGGCCATCCTCGTCGGAGCTCGCCGTGGGCCTCGGCCTGAGGCTGGCCGCCCCTTGGAGAGTGGGTTCTTTGCACCTCGGCTCCTGTCCCTCAGGTGCACTGGGGACCCCAGAGACCGAGGCTCGAGCTGCAGAGGGAGGGAGGGAGGGTCCTCCCGTGAACCCCCAGGCCTCATGAGAGGGCCCTGGCCACCCTCTGCGCTGTCTCTCTGTCCCACAGTGTGTGTGTCACAGCACAGGCACTGCTGGACCTACCCGCTCTGCTCCCCGCAGCCTGTGGGCTCCTGGAGAGAGGGGTCTGTCCCCCATGCCGGCTCAGAGCACACCAGGGCCTGCTGGTTGGGTGACAGATTTAGGGCTGCATGGACCAACACCCTTTCTCGGCCCCCAGGCCGAGTGGTGAAGCTGAGGGCCTCCTCCTCAGGAGAGCGGAAAGGCCAGTGTGGCGCTGGGAGCTCTGGTCCTGGAGCCCCCTTCCCGACGGCGTCCGCTGTGGCAGTTCGTGTGCTTGTGCCTGCAAACACTCCCACTTCGGTCTTCTGGGGAGCAGGGTGGGCATCTGGGCTGGACGGCTGGAGGTCGCAGCTCTGTGGCCTCTGCTCCCAGGACCCGAGCTCCTTTCATGGTGCCCCTGAGGTGCAGGGCAGGTGCCTCTGTGACCTCATGTGGAGGGGCTATGGGGCTGAGTGTTCCGAGCGGGACTCAGGACACAGCTGTCCCACCGCCCCTCACAGCTGCCGTCACCGTCTCCAGGCCCAGGTGCCAGGCGCCCAGGCGGTGTCAGGCGGGGGTCAGCGGGCGTCCGTGCCTCTGGCGTTGCGCTCTCAGCTTCTCCAGGACAGGTGCTTTGCCTCCTCACTGCTCATTCTGTGCATGGTTTGGGAGCCCTGGTGTTTTTCTGACTAGCTCCGGAGGCCAGGCCTTCTGGGGTGAGCTGCTCCTGGGAGTTGGTTGCCATGTACTCATGCCACAGGAGGAGGATCCCCACCTGAGGCCTTGGGCCACACAGGCCATCACGTGTGGGTCTGGGGGACCTGGTGCCCAGCGGGCAGTGGGACTGCTGCCTCTGCCCAGCCAGGGTGTCGGCTGCTGCAGATACACCCTGCTGAGGCGGCTACATGTGTGCAGAGCTTGGAGGAGAACAGATTTCAGGGCACGGTGTGACAGCAGGAGATGTGTCCCTGCCTCCCTCATCTGTTTTATCAGGAGATGCTTGAGCTCCAGTCTCCCAACCAGTCTGGAAGCCAGAGGCTCTGGCCTGGGACTGGACTGTCAGAAGCCTGCGTTCGCCCCTCAGTCCCGGGCCCCCTGCGGCAGGCTCTGCCCTTGGTTCTGAGCTGCTTCCAGCCTCTGCGTCTCTGGGGACAGAGGGCTCAGCGTCCAGAGTGATGGGTGGGTCCCAGCTTGGGAGGAGGATCAAACAGTGATCTTATTCTGAAGCCTGGAATTCCTGGTTTGGCCAGACAGCGGCTGAGCCCGGCTGTGTCTCCTGCGCTCCGTGGCCTCGAACAGCTTCTGGACTGACTGTTTCTTCTTGCTCTGACTCTGCCTTCTGCTCAGGCTGGGTTAGGGACAGTGTCTGTGTGCTTTGAGCACAGCCCTTAGCTCCAGGGTGGCCTCCCTTCAGTCCCGAGGCTCCTGAAGGTTAGCACCACCCGGGGCAGGGCCCCTGGGCTGAGGCAGGCGCTGCTCACCACGGCTGCCTGCTGGGGTCCAGCCTGAGGAAGAGGAAGGCAGCCACTGGAGTCCCTGTGTGACTCACAGACAGCGTGGGGGCGGCTTCCCCAAGGCCTCCGGCAAGCGTACTGCGGGGGCCTGGGGACGGAGGCTTGCATCTGGCAGGGTGAGCCCGTGGACAGCTAGAACCGAACATGCTGGGAGTCCAGAGAAGGACCAGGGAGGCCTCCTGAGAGACGCGGCGTTGAGGCCAGCAGTCCTCAGGGAGAGGCGGGAGGTCCCTCGGGTCCTCGTGGAGAGATGGGGGTTCTGGCCGGGGAGCTGACATTCTCCGCCTGCAGTCAGCGCGTGGAGCGGGGAGTGAAGGCGGATGGCCAGGTCCCAGGCTGTCCAGCGTCTCCACGGGGCTGGGGCGCCCCCTGCCTGACCCTTAGGTCCTCCTCTGGGGGACAGGGGCCCTTGACCCCAGAGCTCCCCCCAGGGTCACTCCTGGGAGCCTGTGTGCGTGTCCCACAGGCACGGGGCGCTCAGTACCTTTCAGCTGGGAGGGAGCACCTCCCTGCATCATTCCACTCTGTTCGTTATTCTGTCCTGGGCAGAGATTAGGGCGAAGGGCCACAGACCGGGCCTGGAAGGCTCAACCCCCGGCCCGCCCGGGGTCTGGCGCCCTCCAGGCTGGGCTGGAGCCAGGTCGGAGGGGCTGCGAGCTAACGCCCTCTTCTCCGGCTTCTCCTAGACTTTGCAGAGTTTGTTTTCCTGGGTCTCTTCCTCACAGAGATGTCCCTGAAGGTGTACGGCCTGGGGCCCAGGAGCTACTTCCGGTCCTCCTTCAACTGCTTCGACTTCGGGGTGAGTGGGACGTCTGGTCGGGGTGCCGGCTGTGCACTCGAGAGGGCGTGCGCCCCTCCCGCGTTGCCGGGCCCGGTGTGGGCGGGGGTCTGCGGCGCAGAGCCCAGGCGTCGGGGGGCCTGTGAGCCTGCCTGGGCCAGAGGGGCCGTCTGAGGCGGGGAGGCTCGTCCTGCTGGGGTGCCAGCTGTGACTCCCTCCCTCTCTCCCCTGCCCTTGTTACGGAGTCTCAAGACCAGCTCAAGGCTCCGCGGCCTCCCCTGGGCCTGGCGTACAAGCTTCTTTCAGATACGCTGCCAGGGCTCAAGGGAGCTGTGGTCCTGATGCCTCAGCGTCCTGTGGGTCCGGCCCTGGGCATGTGCACCAGTGTCAGGGGAGGACTGACAGGCCGTGGTGGCCCAGCCCTTCTTGTGAGGCTGGGGGCAGCAGTGAGCCTGGGTCTCTTCCCCAGCCTCTGCCGGTGAGGGAAGCCTGGAGGGCAGGTGTTTCTGAGGCTCACTGCAAAAGGGCAGGGGGAGGGGCAACACAGAGACCACTGCCCTGGGCCCAGCAGATCACACAGGACGCCTCCCTGGTGCCGAGCCCAGAGCCCAGGGCTGGAGTGCTGTTGGCGGCCGCCCAGAGCTGAGTTCTGACCCGGCGGAGGCTCTGACTGAGAAGTGGACGTGCTGCAGTCCAAGGGAGGCCTTGCAGAGCCCCCAGTAGCCAGGGAGGGCGCCCGGACCTAGGTCAGAGGAGAGCGTTCCTCTCGTCAGCGCTGCAGCACAGCTGGCAGACTGCGTCAGATCTTCACGACGACTCACTTCATAGATGAACAGCTAGAGACGCTGTGTGACGGGCCCAAGCTGCCCAGCTAGTTAGTGTGCCGGGGGTCGGTGCTGAGCCCAGGGTTCCCCCGCACACGCCACGCTGCTTGATGTCTCTGGGGAAGGAGGGCGATGGGGCCCAGGGTGCGCCCTGAGAGCTGTGGACACCTGCTGCTTTGACAGACGGTCGAGGGGAAACCAGCTCTTCTGATTCTCTGCCCTCCTGGTTCCAAAGAAAGCTGCAGTGCACGTGGGCAGAGGAGACCCGGAGAGGGAGGGAGATTTCAGGGAGACGCCCATCTGGGAACTTCCAGAGCCCCGCACGCAGGAGTAGTTTGCACATAAGCTAACAGAGGAACCTGGGGTCTCTCGTGGGTCACAGTCCAGCTGGCGCTGGGTGTACAGTCCTCCCGAGGCTTGGCTAGAGCAGGAGCGTGCATTCAGGCTTGTCGCACGGCTGTGGCCAGGCTGGGCTCAGCAGATCTGCTCTGTGCCCTCTCATGGGTGTGGCCGGCCTCGCTTCCCAGTCACATGGGCCTCGCCACGTGTCTCACGGCACGGCAGCTCGTGACGCAAGAGAGACTCGAAGGTCCCCAGGACAGAGGCCGCAGGAGCCCAGTCTCAGGAAAGGGACGCCGTCAGCCGGCTGTTGTGTTTGCCAGGAGGCAGTCACTGGGCCAGCCCACTTTTAATGGGGGAGAGTGTGATACAGGGACGTGGCACCAGGATCGCTGGGGGCTGTCCTGGAGGCTGCCTTCTGGGCCCGTGATTCGCCCCCACCCCAGTGTAGAATGTACTCCCCTCTCTCCCGCCTCCCCAGAGTCTCGTCCTGTTACTGCGGCAGAGCCGCGTCGCCCGCAGCACACCCAGCCTGGTGGAGGCTCCTGCAGCTTCTCTCAGCCTGTAGACCATGAAACTAAAGGGACAAGCTGTCTACCCCGCACCCAGCTTGGGTGGGACAGGCAAGGGGTCGCTGCTCTCGACATCCCTGTTCAGGAAGGGGAGCGTGGGCTGCCCAGCACGCCACTGGGCCACCGCGGCCCTGGAGCCCAGCTGGGAGGTGGTGGGAACGCCCTGATGAGCTCCTGCGGCCTGGGAAGCCCTCTGGCTCTGGGCTTTGTCCTGAGTCATCCTCCCTTTCCATGCAGGGTGGTGAACGTTTTCAGCCCAGGTTTTTCTCAGCCTGCTTCCTACTGGTAGAATTTCGGGAATCCAGAGGCCTAATTTTGTACTGTCTCTGTCCGATTCAGTTCAAACTGGTGATGTTTTTGTGTGTTTAAGCCTTGTAAGAACTTCACGGGCACGTTGTGAATCTTCTTGGAATTTACCCCGTTGGACAGAGCTGTGCCCACGACTCTTTTAGAGGTCAGCCCTGCTCGCCTGAGCTCCTGCTGAGATGACTGAGCTCAACCTGCTTCGGCGTCCTGAGGACGTACTGCTTCACGCAGCCCATGTGGGAGGCACACCCCGTGTCCCTGGGGAGGGCCTGAAGGTGGCTGCACGTGCTCTCAGGCACTACCCTTGGTCTTTCGGCGTCTTACGGAAAAGCCACAGTCACGCCCTGGACTTAATGTCTAGACTCCAGGCCATTTCTTAATTTTGGCATCGTCTGCTCTCTGGAGAGGCCGAGCGTTTCCCAAACTAGCAAGTCTCGGCTTCTCCCGACGTCAAGTCCCTCGGTTCCCTCCCTCCCCTCCGACACGAGCGGCAGGAGGACACCAGGCGGTATCAGTGACTCTTGGCGGAGCCCCGGCTCTGGGCCGCACGTCCGCTCCTCACGCAGCCGCAGGCCCCGGCGTGCCCCGCTCCGCCAGCCCCCTTTCTTGGGCACCTGGGGTTCTCCTCACTTTCCTGTGGCATCCTCAGGGTCCAGCATTCCAGGGGGAGTGCTCAGGGGCTTCAGGCCTCCGCTGACTGCTGCTCAGGGCCACTCCCTGCTCCCAGAGCCCCTCCTGCACTGGGGTTTGAATCATGCAGCTCCTCACTCCCGTTTCCCACGTCTGGATTGATTTTTCTGTCCAGGTAGCAAGTTACCACAAGGCTTAATGGCTAAAGCGGCAGACATTTGTTCGGTCTTATTCTGACGGGTTGGCAGTCAGGCTGTGACCCACGGGTGTGCCTCCCGAGGTTCTGCGGCCCAGGCTCCGTGGGGCTGCAGGGCTCCCATCCACGCCCTGCTCATGGTTCTTGCCAGACCTTGAAAGTCAGCCCCCAGGCTCACCCCAGTGGCCACAGCCGCCCCGGTTCCTGGTGCTGAGGGCCACCGCACAGGCTGCCCAGTGTCCTCTCTGCCCCCACGCAGCTGTGACACGTCTCAGGGGTGACGCCCGTCCCTTTGTCCGTCCTGTTAGCTAGAAGTGGGTAGCGAGGTCCACCCCACCCTCGGGGGACAGACTGCACCAGGAGTGGGTTCCCCGGGGGCCATCTAGGCGCCACCTTCATCATGAACCAGTGTGGACGATGCCGAGGAGGGATGGGCAGGAGGAGACCTGGCGGAGACCAGCGCTGGGAGGAGGGGGATCAGCCCCGGGCACAACGCGGGTGCTGTCATGCTGAGGGCAACTGGTGGTGGCGATCGGGCCAGCAAGACCAGACGTGCTGAGCTGGTGCGAGGGTCATGGTGGTGCGGCAGCTGGGGGCATATCTGACGTCCTCGGAGTGACGTGTGTCCCGGTGGAGGAACGTGCAGCGGGTGGCTGTGCATCTGGGGTGACTTGGAACGGGTCCCACCAGCAGACCAGACGTGCGGGGTAGTGGACCGGTGCTGACCCACAGAGGCCCTGGCACAGTCACCATTTTCTCAGTGACTTGGTGAGAGTGTTGGTTCCGTTGCAGCCGATGCGAAATGGGTGGGAGTGACTGAAACCTTGGACGACGTGTGAGCCAAATGCAGCGAAACGGAATTTAAGAGACTGAAGCTCGACATGGGAGTCCTCCACACCAGCTGCAGAAGTCGGGTTGGAGGGGGTGAGAATTAGCCGCACACACAAAGAGGACACGGGCACTCATGCCGACCGTGGGCCTGGGTGTGCTCCACGAGGCGTGGCGGTCAGGGAGGGAATTCGGTTTGGGTGCCGTTGCTGTCCTGCCCAGAGGAAGGATGGTGAGGGGTCTGCGGTGCCCCAGCCCCACTGCTCTGTCCTTCCCGAGACCCTCACGCCGGACACTGATCAGGATGGCCCTTCACAGAGCCCGTCTGAGGAGCAGCTGAAAGGAGGGACGTGCCTCTCGCTCACAAGCCCTGGTCCACTGACCTGGACGGCGCCCAGGATAACTCTTGGTGAAAACAAGAGGGCGGGCTTGTCACAGTCTGTTCTTGGTGGTTTCTGGGAGAAGACAGGATGCAGTTCTGAGCTGGAACGCTCAGGGCAGTGACAGGACCAGAGGGGGGAGTCACAGGAGGCCGACCTGCTGGGCGGTGTGAGAGCAGCCCAGCAGGCAAGGCATCCGATGTGCTTGTGTCGGATGCGGTTTGCTCTGGAGCCCTGGAGGAGTGTGGGAGGCTCCCCGGCTGTGACGAAGCCCAGCGCGGGCCTTGGACAAGGAGGCTTCCAGGTCCGTCCGGAAACCAGCAGGCCGGGCCTGCTGCGTGTCCTGTGTCCTCCTGGTGCGTCTGGGTCGGGGCAGGACGGGCACCGGCCCTGGGGGCCTGCAGCTCCCTGGCGGCTGCACCTCGTGCTGCCTTATCTGGCTTGAGCAGCAGACGGGAGGCAGGGCGGATGCTTGTGGAGATGCAGCCGCAGCGCGGCGAGGCCCGTGCCCAGGCTGACCCGTGTCCCCTGCAGGTCATTGTGGGGAGCATCTTCGAGGTGGTCTGGGCGGCCATCAAGCCGGGAACCTCCTTCGGGATCAGTGTGCTGCGGGCTCTCCGGCTGCTGAGGATCTTCAAAGTCACCAAGTATGTGGTTCGAGTGCTCCGGGGGCGGGCGCAGCACCCTGGGGCAGCTCACAGCACTGCCCTGGGGACGTGTGGCACCGGACTTGGCCGCAGCCCTAGGGAATCTCTCTGTGGCCTGTGATTGGGTTAGAGGCAGAAACAGTCATAAAGCAGCCCGCGCTGGGGCAGCGGCCCAGCAGGACTTGGTCTCAGCCTCGGGGCCACGTCTGTCCTCAGGGCAGTTTCCAGCTGGACCCAGTGTTGCCGGCAGCAGGGTTCCTGACCCTCTTGTTAGCTTGTTCCCCACGGTTTCACACTATTTCCTCTTGAAGTCAGCAGTCCTGTATTTCAGCTTCCGGAGTGTGACCCTGCTCCATGGTTCGCGGGGAAGCAGAAGTGAGCAGTGGAAGTTCTCTGGTTGTGGCCCCTAAGTCTGCCCGCCTGCCCTGCAGGCCCGCCTCCCGGGGTGGGAGGCAGGCCTCCGCTTGTCCTGGCCCTGATGTGTCTGTGACCTGACTTGAGCCCCCGGGCCTGCCTTCTCCGCCAGGGCCGACCCTGCCTGGTCTGTCCTTGGTGACAGGGCGGTGCCCTGACCGTGCTCAGGTTCATCCCACGTGACTGCTTCCAGCCCCAGAAACGGGTCGTACCCAGGGCAGAGGGAGACGCAGTCAGCGCAGGGAGAGCCAGCGTGGCGGTGGCGGGAGGCGGGCAGACACCCTCACACATGACTGTCCTGGCAGCGGCAGAGCTGCTCTCACTTGGCGGGCTGGAGCCGCGGCCGGACACCACAGCGGGGACCCGAGACCCCAGGCTGCCCCGTGAGCAGCTGGAGCGGGTGGCCGACACGTGCCTGGCGCGGACCTCCGTGCAGCGTTCTGGGCAGCCTGGGTCACGACAGCCACGGGGCTGTCCGCCCTGGGCCTGTGCCGG